TGTGCTGAGGGACGGGGGAGAGGAGAAAGGCGGGAAGAACAAAGAAAATAAAGAAAAAAAAATACATACACACATACACACCTACACACATTGTACCTGTATACATGCCATCATTGTCAATATTATCAACCGAGACGTCACCCTATTCCAATCTTCCCAACTTCAGCTTCAAATGTTCTGCTGCCCCCGCTATTTGGAGAAGTGATGGATAAACGCGAGCATCCTTCATTCCTCTTTTCCTTTTTCCTCATCAAAGTCTCTCATCACAATCAAAAAACAGCCGTCATCATCATCATCTAAATAATAATAATAATAATAATAATAATAATATGGGGTTTCATTTAAATAGCGATTGACTGCGTGTATGCAAAAGAAAGCAGGTATTGTGTTAGTCGGAGGATGGCGTCAGACACGGTAGCGCGTCGATGGTCTCCCAGTACTGCCCAAAGATGGCGAAAGTGCGTGTATTTGGTAGATTCGCCTTGTGCCGCCGCCATGCACGCATCAGCGGGTGATTTGTGACAGCCGCCGTGAGAAAAACGCCGTACGCCTCAATTGGACGTGAATTACTCAGCAAGACGGAGTAATGCACCAGCTCCTCGACCAACCAGGTGAGATCCACAAGCAGGGAACACAGCGCTGGCCGGTAATGTGCAATTGCACCAGCCGTGGTGTGGCTCACTTGATTGTTACTATGATTATGATGATTGCTGCTGCTCGTATTGACGATGGAGGTGCTGTTGGAATTTGCACCGGCAGTGGCACTGATGATATGAGACGTTGCCTCACGTGTGGCGTCGGTGGCCTCGATTCCCCGCTGGGCCGTGTAGTACTGGAACTCCGGCAGAAACGCATCCGCGGCCTCCAACAGCACCCGCCAGAAGGACCGCACAAAGTTAAAAAGCCTCTGCTCACTGATCTGCCGACGGCCGACTTTCAGGGACTTCGCGATCGGCTGCGCAGCGGCGGCAACAGCAATAGAAAAGGGTGTGGCCGGCAGAAAAGCATTGGGCGGCACGTAACACAACTCTACTCGCAAACGTTCACTGGGGTTCTGGGCATTAAGCAGCAGACCGTGATCGTAGAGCACAGGGAGGGCAGCGGCCATGTCGCCAGATGCGCCCCACGACAACATGGCGGCCACACGAGCAACGTCTAGTCGCACACGAACCGTCGCGGACCCACCTCCTGGAATAACGAAAAGGTTTGTATGGTTTTCCCCCGGCTGCGGCTGCGGTTGCGGCTGTCCGTCCACCTCCATTTCCTCCTTACCGTTCCCGTCCTTTTCTCTGCCTTGCCCCGGCAGCACGTCAAGGATAGGGGATGCCGTGCGGAATGTGACACGGATCTCGCGCGAGCGGAGGTTCTTCACGGGAATTGTCACAGTGTAATCCTCCGCTGCCGCAAAAAATAGTTGTCTCGGCGACACCATTGAAGATCCGCAAACTTGAAAACGTGCCTTTAAGACAAACCGTGCATCGCGGGCCTGCTTGCACTTCAAAACCACCTCCGCCTCCCCCGACACGGTGACACCACTTGGAAGTGACAGTCGGTCACATATGAGGAGGAATGACACATTCACACGCGACTTGGGATCCACGACAAAACGTCGTTGCCCTCGCATCTCCGGAACGTTGTGTAAATGGCAAACCAGCAACCGCACATCACACTCCGGGCGAGCATCAACACCAATTTGTTGTTTGCCATCATCATCTTCTGCTCCCTCCACATCCTGGGATGAGGTCCGTCCAATGCCACTATTGAGTATACCGCCGGCATTCGTCTTGGCGTTGGCAGTGGCGGCAGTCGTATTGGTGCTAGTAGTCGTGGCGGAGCTGAGATCATCCCCTTCATCTGGAGTGTTATTGAACTCCATGCGGAATGGTTTCACGACGGATACAGGAAACTCAAGTGGAATAGTCGCGCGGTTCACAATCTCAAGCGCCACATATGCGCGGTGCGTGCCTGCTCCAAAAAGACGACCAATAAATACGCTACGCTCGGCGTTTGTAGACATCCGCTGGCCATTGGGCGCAACTATCTCAAAGAGACCCTCTCCCGCTGTAGGCAGAAACACCTCGGCTGTAAGCTGCAGCAACAGCATCTCCCCTGGAGCAGCACTGGTGCTAATACCCACATATCCACTGAACGAGCCCGCCCCTGTTGAGAGGATGTTCAGACGCAATGGTTGGGCCTTCCCTGGTTCGAGTACTGCCGTGGCACTAGGTAGAAGTAACCAAGGTTGTGGCCCTTGCGAAAAAATGGTAACGCTGTAATCCACCACCGTATCACTGAGGTTATTACGGATGGTAATACCTATCGGCGGGGGTGAATCCTTTGCGTAAGTAAAACGGCATGTGTACGTCCCCTGGCATCCAGCTACAGCCTGGCAATCGCCATGTAAACTGAGCACACACAAATATGACGATGATGAAGATGATGACGCCCAATAGGCATGCCCTGACGCTGCAATTCCACCAGCGGCATTAATATTCCCCATACCAGAAGTTGTGGCCGTCCTGGTTGGCGATGCCCTCCTCATAGCGGTGGTGGTGGTCATCGTCGACCTATCAACACCCACAGTACCCTCCAGAAGACCTTCACAGCCACCAGCATCAGCAGAACCAGCAGCAGCCCCCCTGGCCTCTACACGTGATCCTGATGTTTGTAAAAAGAGTTGCTCCTGTTTATGTTGTTGTTGTGCCATCTCATCTAGTGGGGCAAGAACAATGCGTACTTTCGCCACACTACATGGAACACTTTCATCGAATAGTACAAGCGCCACAGCCTGCTCCACATTTGGCTGATGTCGGCTTGCATCCACACGCATCAATACCCGTACACGTTGCACTGACTGCGGCAAAATCGACAGAAGCGTTGTTGTCGTCTCGTCCGTGTTCGGTACCTCTGATGTAAGAACCGTGGCTGCTGCAGTTGTCGCAGTGGTGGTACGAGGAGGCGGCGGAAAAAAAAAACCGGCCGTGGGATCGGCAGCATTTGTGACTGTGTGCCTCTTCTCCACTGTCATGGATATGTTGCCACGCGGCGTACTCGGCAATTTCAACCCTTCGCTTTGCGGCGTCGGCATCTCTTGGAGTTGAATGCAGGAGACAGCCACAGTGTCCTGATATGCCTTGTCCCGCAGGGGTGTGATGGAGAGTACCACAGTGTGTTGCGAACATGGGTTGGATACAACCAACTCGCCCGTGTACACAGTCTCTGCCCCATAATGCATCCGGTTCGTCTCAGCCCCTCCCTCTCCTCCTATTCTTGTTGGAGCTGCCGCAGACACCGTCGATGCGGTTTGCGGTGTCAGTGTGATTCTCAAAGGAACGGTAAATGTCTGAAATGCGCCTAATGTGCTGAACACCTGCACCTCCTCATCCGCCCCGGTCAATGAGTTGGAAAACCGTAATGTGCCAAGCCACATGCTGGGGGACCCTGTGACCCGCCGCCGCTCCAGGTCAGCGAGCTTTTCAAATGTCAAGGCCTGTCGCTCACGAATGACGTCTGCATTTTTTATCTTGCGTTGCCCATAGAAGGCGGCGGACAGGGCAGCAAAGTCCTCCCTCATCAGCAGACAGCGCAACCGAAAGGGGTGCTGCTCCTTCTGCCGGGAAGGCACCCCCATCACAAGTTCATCAGCCTTCGTTAGCGCAGGCACAGACGCAACAGCGGAAGCAGCCGTCCCAGCTGCAGCTGCAGCCGGAGAAGGAGAAGAATTCGTGACGGCGGTAACCAAAGAAGTATTCATAGTGTTAGCGCTGGAGGCCCCACCAATGGAAGCATTGTTCAAGCCATTGTTCGTGTTGCCGCCCATACCACTCCCACCGCCTG